GGCTGCTATAGCAGCTATTTCTATTTTTTAAATGCTGTTGGGGCAACGTTGTTAAAAAAAAAAAAATCACAACAGCGATTTTAAAGAAAAAAGAATTTTTTTTTTGGACCGGCAGCGGTTTTTATGTTTTTTAAAAGAGTAACAGTGTCAATTTTGTCAGAAGAAAATCGCTCCGTCAGAAGCGATTTTGCCCTTTTGGTTAAAAAAAATTGATGTGTCATTTTGGAATTTTTGGAAACAGAGGAAGGAAAGTCTTGAACGAGTGCATCTTTTACATATTCCGTGTATTTTGACGGCAAAATAAAATAAAATATTAATTTTAGGGTTAAGGACCAAATTGATCACAATTTATGATACATAAAGGACCATTTTCATCAAGTCCATACATTAAGGACCAAATGGAATCAAAGCCATACATTAAGGACCATTTTGATCATTTTCTCAAGAGAATTATGTAGCATCCCTTTTCTGTGAAAACTACTTGTGATAGAAATCAAGAGCTTCAATAGCTATATCTCTTTCATCTTCTAACCAAATGCCTTGACGATTTTGGATTTTCTTTAGATGCAGTCTTTTCCTTCTACCCTTTACTATGCTGTGAAAAAATCTTGTATTTCTATCACGATTATCAAACCATTCATAACTTGCTTTTTGTTGCCAAAATATTTCCTCAACCAAAGATACCTTTAAATTCAGCTTGAGCCTTTTGTAGCACAACTCTATTATTGGCAAATGGATCTTCTTCAAATAACTTCTCTTTAATTCTTACAATCTCCTCTCTGATAATCAATTGCTTGAATATATCACCATATGCATCCTTGCTCCATTTGGTCAGAGCAGTTTTAACTCTTCTCATATTCTCCTTAAAAGTTATAAAAGGATTTTCCGCAAGGAAATCTTCATGATCTGTCCAAAATTTTAGGAACCTAAATGGCTTCCTATAGTTGGATTTGCTCTCTTCACAGAAAGGGACCATAGGAGCATGATTAGACCCGGTTCTTGATAAATGTTCAACTTCAGAGTGGTTAAACCAATTATGTATCTCCTGATTAATTAGAATTTTGTCCAACCTTTCAAAGATACAATCATTACCAGCTATACCATTCCATCATGTAAACGAGCTACCTTTGAAGGGCATTACTGTCAACTCACAATTTGAAATGCAACATTCAAAATCTTCATGATCAGCATTTACTACTGGGAGGCCCTCTATCTTTTCTTCAGCATTCATCACCACATTAAAATCACCCTCAACTGACAAAGGCCTACTAATGTCTTCTGCCAATTGATAAATATCATTACATAATGCTAGTCTTTGTTCTGCAATACATTTAGCATACACAACGGTGATATAAAAGTTATAAGGCATGATCTGGTGCTTCATATTAAGAGTTAATTGTGGTTCTGTATCCCTAATAACTGTGATGTCATATTCATGGTTTGTAAACACTCATATTTTTCCATTACATTTGGAAGTTGCTAGAGGCATTTTCAACCTTCTTCTGTACTTATTGATGTATCTACTATCTTGAAAGGGTTCCAAAAGACCAATAAAAGAAAACTTGTGGTGTTTATGTATGTTTGAAATCTTTGAAAAGCTTGTTGAGACTTCACATATACCTCTACCATTATAAAAGTAGTTCATATATACCCTTACCATTATACAAACGACTCACATATACCTCTATGGTTTTAAAAGTGTAGCACCTTGAACTTCGGTCAGTATTAAGTTTTGGGTCAACTTTAAATGACCATATCTTTTGGCAAATAAAAAGTTACGCGGCCCATGAGGTATCAAATTAAAGGTCGTTGAGTCCTTTTTCCAACGCCGCCAAGTTTGCTAAATTTCGAGCTCCGAGTAAAAGTTATGGTTGTTTGATGAAGCCTTTCCATTTAGGGCATTCCATCCATTTTATGAAAGGTATTTTGGTCTTTTCCTTTCCCCCAGTTGTCTTAACCTGTTTTCCTGACCCAAATTAAGGGTTTAATCATATTCTAAATTCCCATTCACGTTCAAAACACTTGGGGGTTTTAGGGTTAAGTTTAAAGAAGAAATAAAGGGCTATGTTCAAGCTTCGTTCAAGAATTGAGGAATTTCGTCAAGAATAATCGTTCTTTCCATAGTGATGGATTTGTTCATCCTCACGTCAAGCATGTAATTCTTTCATTAATTTGTCCATGAAATCCTTTGTGCAAGTATTATTGAAGAATTCTTGAGATTTAGCCTCATTCTTTAATAATAGAGGTTTTGAGTTCTTGAGGGGAAGGTCTTGCGAATGAGTGTTGTTTCTTTGTGGATTTTGCGTGAGACTTGAGTTAATACCTCAAATGGTCACTCAACTATACACTCTCTCTCAGAAAGTCACTCAACTTTCAATTTTCACTCAAAAGTCACGCAACTATGCACTTCTTTCTCAGAAAGTCACTCAACTTTCAATTTTAACTCAAAAGTCACTCAACTATCCCCTCTTTCCTCAAAAAGTCACTCAATCTATTTAATTGTTTCTTAATTAAAATTGGCTGATATTAATTGTTTATATAACAAACCAAAATTTTATAAAAATAAAAAATACCATTTAAACCATTTAGTGATCCACCCACCTAACCCGACCCATTAAAAAATATAATATGACCTATTTTATTTTGCCTTTAATCCTAAATTATTCCCTCTTTTCTCCTCTACATTTTTCTTTTTCATTCTCCATTGTTGGTGCCTCTCATCTTCTTCCCCTTTTAGCTAGGTTTTAATTTGGGCATCTCGACTTCAAGCTCTATATTACGTAGAAATTCAAATGGACTCTCCTCCTCCTCTATTTTGATTTAGGCATCTTCCATTATAGTCCAAAATTCAACTTTTGAAGATGGAGTATGCTACTGAATCAAGGAGAACAACAACTGAATCTCAAATAAATGACTCCAACTCATCTCCCCAGTCCTTGTTTCACGAAGAAAGGGACCACTACGCGGGTAACTCTCAAGAAAACAAGGTGCGCTTAAATTTTTTCTTTTAGTTATTTGTTGTTGAATCGGAACAACAAGTGAAGTTAGGGTTCTTTATCCATGTGGGTATTAGATTTTTCTCAATAGATAAATGGTTAGGATTTATTATGTTTAGAACCTTAGAATTTTATCTGTTTTATGATATTTATCTACACTGCTGTGCTTTTAGAAAATATCATCACAATGTGAACAATTTTTTAGCCTAGTGTTGGCTGAAGAAGTTCAGGGTGGTAGTGTAATGATTTTAAGGGATAATGTAATAGGGGTTGTTCAAGATAATATGATTGGTGAGGTAGATGATAATAATTTCAATGATCCTTATTATAAGTTGGAGGAAGATGATGAAGATTATCATGATGTTGTTATTGAGCGTCGTGGTATGAAGGCGAAAGGTAGACCCAAAAAGAATACTAATGGTCGAAGTAATGGTGTTGGTCCATCCACTACTGGAATTTTAATTCCACAAGTGCATCAGAATGGAGAATCAGATTATGACGATTCTGATGAATTGTTGGAGGGGGGTACTGATTCAGATGACGAGGTAGAATACACATAGTATAATGCAGAAAATGACAATCCTATTTTAGAAGTAGGGATGAAGTTTGCTAGCTTTGATCAGTTTAAGGAGGTTTGCATGAACTGGGGGATTAAACATATGAGGCAACTATACTTCACCACCAATGATAAACAAAGATGTATTTGTAAATGTAAACATTTTGGGTAGGGGTGCGCATTCCACGGTTCGGTTCGGTTTTAGGTGTTATTGGTTCGGTTTATCGGTTTTCGGTTTGTAAATATGGCAAACCGATAACCAAACCAATAACATATTTCTTATCGGTTTTTGGTTAATCGGTTTATGGTACTTAACGGTTCGATTTTCGGTTTAACCAATAAGAAAATACTCATACATATTATATACACGATAAGAAAATTTTCAAATAAACCATATGATTTTTCCAACATTTGGCATGAAAGTAATAATCATAAAAGTAACAATCATTTTCTTGCAAGTTTAGACACTAGACACATTCAAAGGAAAAAGTGTGAAAGTAACAATCGTTTAATCATTAACAATAAGACTAGTAAATTTAGTATAGTCTTATTGGGTTATCGGTTTAACCATTAACAAAATTATAAAACCGGAAACCGAACCAATAACCCAATAAAAAATTTTGCAAAACCGTTAGCCCAATAACCCAATATCAATAAACCAATAGCGTTTTTTCGGTTTGGTTTATTGGTTAAATCGGTTTTTGCACACCCCTAATTTTGGGTGCCCATTCCATGTTTTTGCAAGTCCAATACGTAAGTGTGATCCAACGATTCAAATCAAAACATTGAATATAAATCATAGAGGTCCTACCGTATCTGACAATTTCCATGTGATACCTCAATGGATTGCAAGGAAGTATTTTAATAATTTTAGAGCTGATCCAACTTGGAATGTTAGTGGAATAATTGCAATTGTGCAAAAAGACCTTGGCTACACTATAGAATATAGGAAGGCATGGAGAGCCAAACAACAAGCTTTAAAATGGGTTTATGGGGATGAGTGTGCACAATATGGAAAGTTGTTACGATATAGGGCAGATTTGTTGAACACAAATCCAGGCTCTAACGTAGAAATTTGGAGAGATGAATGTAAATTCAAGGGATTTTATGTGTGTCTTGCTCCTCTAAAGGAAGCTTTTAAGTCTGTGTGTAGGCCATTAATAATCCTAGATGGTTGTTGGCTTAAAGGCACATATGGAGGCAATTTGTTAGCTGCTATTGCAATGGATCCTAATGATTGCATCTTTCACAGTGATGCTGAAAGTAAGGAGACTTGGAGTTGGTTTCTAACAAATCTTGGATATGACTTAGAGATAACAAATAGTCACCACATTGCCTTCATGTCTGACAGACAAAAAGTGAGACATCCAAATTCTTTCATTTTTCTAGTTTACTGGTTTTTTTTTTATTATGTATTTGACAATTTAAAATCTATGTTACATGGATTGATTGGAGTTGTTAAGGAATTGTTTCCAAAAGCAGAACATAGAAATTGTGTTAGACACATATATCAAAATTTTAGGCATAAACATAAAGGCAAGGGACTAAAGGATCTAGTATGGAATGCAGCAAGAGCAAGTAATGAGGTGAAATTTAAGATTTGTATGGAACGACTCAAGCAAGAGGACAGAGAGGCTATAAAATGGTTCGATCATCCTGAAAGACCATTTCAGACCTGGACTAGAGCATTGTTCAAGACACATAGTAGATGTGACAGGCTATTGAATAACCTTTGTGAAAGTTTCAATAGGTACTTATGCATTCTTTTGTCTATTTAAAGTATCACACATACTTATCAATTCTCTCATTATATTTTAATTTGTAGGTACATACTTTATGCAAGAGATAAATCAATTATAGCTCTATTGGAAATGATAAAAAATAAGCTTATGAAAAGGTTGTATAAGAAGAAGGAATGGATTAACAAGTACCATGGTATTATCTGTCCAAAAATTGAAATTTTTTTGAATCAAATAAGACTTGAAGCAGCATTGTTTAGATCAAATTTTTCTGGTGGACCAAGGGTGTCGGTTGAAGGTCCAGGAGGGCCATTTATTGTGGATATGCAAAAAAAGAGTTGTACGTGTAGTAGATGGGATTTAACAGGACTGCCTTGTCCGCATGCTTTGGTTAGTATTCATGGAAATAGTGATAAAGTTGAAGACTTTGTGAATGTATACTACAAGGTTGAAACTTTCAAAAATGTGTACTCATATTTCATTAACCCAACCAACCCCGAAGATCATTGGCCAGATGTAATGAATGGTGGTGAGGTTCTTCCTCCTAAGATAGTAAAAAAGAACATAGGGAGAAAGCCTAAATTAAGACGAAAGGAAGTTGAAGAATTAGAAAAACAGAAAAAAGCTGAAGCGCAAAGGCAAGCTGAAAGAAGGTCAGTGAAAAAGGATGAAGAATCGGCTCCAAAGAAATTATCGAAAAAAGGCTCTATTCATATAAAGTGTTCGATATGCAAAAAAGATGGACACAATGCAAGAGGTCACTATAAGTATGTCAACATTGTTGTGCCTGAAGCAAGACAACCTTTTGAAACTCAAGACCTAGTGTCTGATTATGTCTCGTTGGGATACTCAAACCAATTTAACCATTATATGTGGGATAATTCTCAATTGGATGTCGATTTAACAAATCAATCTATCATAACTCAGGTTGTGATTTCAATTTAAATTTTTTATACTTCTTTAGATGTTTATCAAATTGCAGATTTTAAATGTTAAATTTTTTAATTAGGAACCAAGGCAATAATCAACTGGTGTTGAATGCGTTCAAGATGAAGTTGTTCGAGTCACAGACATTGTAAATGTGAATGATTAAGGTGTTGATTATGTGCAAGGATCTCAGTCTGCCAAGATGAAGGTATTGATTGTGCACGAGGAGCTCGGTGTGCTCTAGAGAAGAGTGATGATTATATGCGAGGAGCTCAGTGTGATCAAGAGGAAAGTACTGATTGTTTGTGAGGAGCTCAGTGTGCTCAAGATAAAACCGTTGATTGTATGCAAGGAGCTCGATATGCTCAAGATTAAAGTATTGATTGTATGCAAAGAGCTCAACGCGCTCAAGATGAAGGTGCTCAGGCAGGCTTATCAAAAAGAGGCAGACTTTACAAGAAAAATGTTATGAATGATTATGTTTGTGAAGCGTCGATGAAAAGGTCTAGGAAGTGTTAATGACATTGTATATTAAGTGTCTTATTTTGTTAAAACTTGTGGTCTTGTGACCTTGACTCATTAGTTAGGAAGTGCTAATATGACATTGTATAAAATGTCTTATTTTGTTAAAACTTGTGGTCATGTGACCTTAACTCATCAGTTAGGAAGTGTAGATATGACACTGTATATAAAGTGTCTTATTTTGTTAAAACTTGTGGTCATGTGACCTTCACTCATTTGTTCTATGTGTTATGTTATATGCATTATTTTTGGTATGCATTATATGACCTTACCTACTGTGTCTGGCAGGTATAATTACACATTAGATGGAGATGACATATATTTGGTAGTTCTTTCTCGTTGTCGTCTTTATCTTGCTACACACATTATTTGATTTTTGAAGTGTTTCATAGTAGTCAATGTCGTATCTTATTATCGTAGTGATTTTAACGATCTCTTATGGCGTTCAAAGAAGTAATCTCTTTCATGATTAGTTCAATTACTTTTTTCATTTGATGCCAGCTTATATTTGAATTTGTTTAAAGGTCCTTTATGTGGTAAGGAGTCCCGTTTCAGTGCCATTTTCATGTCATCGATATGCATTGAAGCTGCTGAGGAGAATTAATGAAACTCTGAAATAATCTACTAATTTGATATGCAGCCCTTTAAAAAAAAAAAAAAAAACTAAAAGTAAGTTATGTATGTAGATTATGGAAGATATATGGACTGGAGCAAGGTTATCCTTCTCCTAGTCCTAGATATCACATATTAAAAAGCTATCAAACCTTTTCTACTATCTGTAGTTTTAATGTCATTTGCCTTGAAACTAAGGAGCCCTTTTGATTACATCTTCCTCAACAAACAATTCTCGAGAGTTACCCGCGTAGTGGTCCCTTTCTTCGTGAAACAAGGATTGGGGAGATGAGTTGGAGCCATTTATTTGAGATTCAGTTGTTGTTCTCCTTGAGTCAGTAGTATACTCTATCTTCAAATTTGAATTTTGGACTATAATGGAAGATGCCTAAATCAAAATAGAGGAAGAGGAGAGTCCATTCGGATTTCTACGTAATACAAAGCTTGAAGTCGAGATGCCCAAATTAAAACCTAGCTAACAGGGGAAGAAGAGGACAGGCACCAACAATGGAGAATGAAAAAGAAAATTGTAGAGGAGCAGAGGAGAAAGAGAGGGAATAATTTAGGATTAAAGGCAAAATTATAAAATGGGTCATATTATATTTTTTAATGGATCAGGTTAGGTGGGTGGATCACTAAATGGTTTAAATGGTATTTTTTATTTTTTAAAAATTTTGATTTGTTATATAAATAATTAATATCAGCAAATTTTAATTAAAAAATAATTAAATAGATTGAGTGACTTTCTGAGAAAAGAGTGGATAATTGAATGACTTTTGAGTTAAAATTCAAATTAAAGTTGAGTGACTCTCTGAGAAAGAAGTGCATAGTTGAGTGACTTTTGAGGGAAAATTGAAAGTTGAGTGACTTTCTGAGAGAAGAGTGCAAAGTTGAGTGACCATCTAAGGTATTAACTCCGTGGGACTTCAATGAATTTATGAATTAAAGAAAGTATGGAAGAAACCAGTCGATTCTAGATGAGTTAGGACCCAAAATTGAGCAAGAAAATTCATCAAAAATCTGGGTTTTTGGGGTGGGGCTGCGCGCCACCAACGCGTTAGGAGTGCTAGCGCCCTGCGCCTGAGTTGCGCCCCAAAGCAGCCCCAGAACTTTTGGAGCTAGTGCGACGCACTACTACTACGCCAAGGTCACCCGACCTTTTTCTTCTCCATCCTTCATCCCGTATGCATTCTTTTAGATCGCACCTATGTTCTTTTCTTGATCTTAACTCCTAAATTCTTCATTAATCCTTGAGAAAGTCTTCATTTCACATTCACATGTCTTCATTTACATTTCAAGTTAACGTAAGATAAGAGGAAAGTTTAAAGGTTCTATTTCATAAACACTTAAGAGTTTCAGTGTTTCAAATGTTATTTATATATCTATATATACATATGTACCTATATTGACTATTGGACTTGAAAGATAAGTTCATAAGTACATTTTTTTAAGAATGTAAACATGTCTAATGTTTTGAGAAGTATTTCAAGTAAGTAAGAAGTTCATTCTTTGTTATGGGTTAATTGGGCATAGAGTTATATCAAATATTTTGGGAGTAGTATCGAGCACCGAATTGGGTTAGTATTTTATGATTTGAAAGTCCCATAAAACTACGTAGCCAGCGTAGGATATGATAGCATTGATTCTTCATGTGACTCCTCACTACCTCTGAGAAGTCCAATTAGATGGATTCATAGTCACGATATCATCCTATACCCCGACAAAGTATAGGATGACCCTTGCAACGTGGGCAAAACGTTGTATCATTGTTAGGCTTATGGTAATGATTGTCGGTTAGAGAAACTTCCCTCAAAGTAAAATATATTATTTTCATGTTGCTTTCATAGCATATCTTATTGTAAAGCTTAAATGGTTTTCACTTCATATTAATGTATTGATCTAGTTATGTTGCTTTCAATCATTCAAGTTAGTAAGTTGTTTACTCTAACCATATCACTTACCAGTACATTCAATTAAATGACGTCATTCAACCTGCATCGTTTTATGATGCAGATACAGGTGCTCAGGATCATCAACATACACTTCGTTGAGATCATTTTTCACTTGCAGACAATATTTGGTAAGGCCTCCTTGCTTCTGGGAGACTCTAGTTCCTTTCAGTTTAGTAGTTTTGGAGGTCTCGTGGATCTTGTCCCAACATCTATCTTACATTGCTAGAGGCTTCATAGACAAACTAAGTTAGATGTTTTCATTGTTTTCTCATAATGTTTTATTTAACTTATGATTCATGTTAAGTATTTTGCTAGAGAATATTTTTAAGACTTTCTGAAATGTCTAAGTGTTCACCTATTTTAAGTTTCTGCCAATTGTTTAATGTGATGTAAGTCATGTAGACGGGCCAAGGGTTCTCTTGGGAATCATAAATGGTTCTCGAGTGCCAGTCATGTCCAGGGTATAAGCTCGGGGCGTAACAAAATGAGTTCACATATACCCTTCATTTAACAGAAGAGAAAAATTAGAATTAAATTTATATTTTTGACTTCTTTTTAAAAAAAAATCATTTAGGGGTATATATGATTATTCTAGCAAAGTTCAAGGTATATTTTAGTCTTTTTCATACATAAATTATTTTTTTACTTCTTTGATTATCATTATTTGAGCTTCTTATTCATATTTTATTTTTCTTTCATTCCTTAGTGTAAAGAAAAAACCTTAAAACTATTTTTTTTTGTGGCAATATTATAAATTAAAACTATTTTTTCAGTTATATTGTAATTTAGTTTTTGTATTTGAGAAAAAAGTTGGGTCATCTATAATAAATTTTACAAGAATACTAGTGAAACATAAATAAATTTGACCATCAAAATAATATATCTAAATTAGTTATTGAAACAAAAAAAAGTCATGTTTGAGGAGGATTAAATATACTCATATGAGAATATTTTTTAAAAAAAATTAAACTAAAATTAGTTCACTTATGTAAGAGGAAAAAGGGTATATGTGAGTCATTTGTATAACATATGGGTATATATGAGTTACTTTTGTAACGAGAGAGATATCAACTCTAAATAACAAAGTTGAGGGATATATCCGACCTTTTTCCCAGTAATATATGTTACTTTGGCTATCTCAATTCAATACTATAAAATTTCAAAAATCACTTAAATGGTTAATTATTGTAATTTATAATAGCTTTTTTAATTCATTTCAAATAGCTCCAATCCAATTTGTTGTATCTGTCATCGAACATAGACTTTAAAAGAACAAAAAGGGTAATTACTCGTTAAAAAACAATATCTCTGGAATATTGTAGAAAGCTTCTTACTGTTCGTATCTAAAATTAAATGAAGAAGATCCTAGATTACGAATTGCTCGAGTTTCTCAGATTCATCACCTATTAATATCACCATACTTTCTCTAGTTTATCATCAGCAAGTAATCAAGCAATTCAAACACTAGAATCAAAAGTTAAAAAATCTTCAAATTCTTATTTCTTTCAACTTCAAATTCAAACACTAAAAGCAAATAAATATTTTTAACTTCAAATTCTTATTTTTTTCACCCCTACCTTCGATCCTCCACCAGCCCCCTCACCCCCAAAAAAAAAAATTAAGTTTGTTTTTAAAAAATATTTTCAATTTCAAAAATTATTTTCTACTCTAGTAAAAGTAAAAGATATTTCTAAAAAATATTTTCATTCATAAATCAAACACTAAAAAAAAAATTCGGACGATATTTTCTACTCACCAACTAAACATCACAAAATAAATCAAAAATCTACTTATTTTCTAGGAAAACATTTTCCATGAAAGTATTTTCCATTGAAAACATTTTCCTTCCTACCAAACACACCCTAAAGTTAGCTCAAATCAGGTGAAATAGATGATATAGGAAAGCTGTATACACTAAATTGAAGGTAAGTTATGGTAATCGACTTACCTAAGACAAGAATTCCAGCGACGAAATCGTAGCAGCTGATGTCAACACTAAGATGTTAACACTAAGATGTTAAGTATTGTAAAATATATACACACACAAAATGCTAAGTGGTGTTTACTAAATAACCATATGATATACTTGGTGCTCAAAGTATATACATGGCAAGAAGATATATATGTATCACACTTGATGCCATCAAAGGTTGTAGA